ATTTTTGGTTAAAAATCGATTTGTTTCGCACGATTATGTGAGAGAAAGAACTTAAAAAAGGGAAACATTTTGAAGAAAGGCAATAAGCATATTAGTGTGATGAGGGTGTCTGAATTGTGAAATCAGGACTTTATGGTTTATTCTACATACACGTAAATAATCGTATTTGAATGGAATTATTGTTTTTTTTCCAGGCAACTATCCTCCGGCAGTTTTGACTGGTCAGTGGCGCCAGCTAATGAGGAAATTAAATGATTATACAAAAAATTTTAATTTGTAATATTTTCTTTGTTGAAATGGATCTTGATAGCTTTAAAGAGGATTAAATATTGATGAAGTTGGAAATGTTGCAATAGGTACATTATTTTTAAAAGGTTCCGTTAATTGTTTCCCATGTGGAACTCCCACTTCCCCAAGTTTGCATGCTTTATAGAGTTGACGATGCAATAGCACATATATATCCTTGTTTTGACTATAAACAATACCTCTGCGTACGGTCTAGGCTGGTCTCAAATTTTACTTGATTTGCTCTAAGCATCCATTAGATAGTTAACCCTTTGAGGGTGTGTTAAGTGTTCAGATTAGTTGCGATACCGTGCGAGTCCGACCTAGTTCGTACTAGTCCGACTTTGTCAGATTTCACTGAAAATCGATCCCGTACCCGCCGTACTCGGTTCGCTGCCAATTGAGAGGACAAATAAGTTAGTAAACAAGATTCTCTCTATGCCAGAAAATACCAGTTTTAGTTCGAAGATTTTTTGATGGTAAATTCTGGTAAATGTAGACAGTGCAGTGACAGAGCAGAGTGCACGCTAATACATGTTCAAAAAAATTTGATTAGATGTTTAAGTGGATGGTAATGAATATGGAATTATTTTTGGTTAAGTATGTATTTACATGTGTGAGCTGAGTGTGTTTATGTTGAAGTTGTCAGATTTTTTACTAGAAAGCGATGCCGCACTTTTTAGTGTATTACTCTCTCGGTTTGAGCAAATTTTAATTTTTTTACAGTTTTACTAGTTTTAGTCCGAGGAGTACGGGATTGAACGTATTTATTTACCTTAAGTCACCCCGGAAGTCCACCAGATGGCGAGCCTGCTAAGGCATGTCTGTGTCAAGCAGACACTGCGTTCTATAAACGTGCTCTCACACAAGAATTGGTTGTGGGCTCGGTTAAGGATCTAGCTCGCTAAAAATAAAATGCAAAAGAGAAAAAATGTAAGCCTCTTTGGAGACTACCTTTCTTGACGGAGACCTTGTATATTCCGCTGTTGAAAATTCTATTTCGGTGTCGGATTTGTGGGGAGAGAGTTTTTGTCGCCCAGTATTTACTTTTAAGCGATAGGTTTGAGATCGTGGCTAGTTCCTGCTGAGAAGAAGATGGAAATCTGTTAAAAGACTTTCAGGTTATACTTGAGAATGAGATCTTTTGAATATCGCCAACTATACCGGCTGAGCTTTTTAAAGCTAGCGGCGAAAGGCTGGTAGGGCACATGTACCAGTGGAATATAAATCTGCTTAAAATTACGTACCAGGTTCTATCGATCATACTGTGTAAAAGAAGTGACAGAAACCTTTTGTGTACCAACTCTTAAGACCTTATCAGTGTGACTTCAGGCCTGATAAGTAAGTACACCATTGGTCGATAAGGGGATTCCCACACACACACATCACATTTTTGTTGATATTAAAGCCGCTTTTGATAGCAGACATATAACTTTACCTAAACTCTAAATCTTAAAAGCTTCAAAATACTGGAAAGGAAGTATAACTTTTGTGAGTAGATGCTCCTTTTGGCTCGGTAGGCAATTGTATCCCTAATTCTGAGAGCTTGTCAAGAATGCCACTATGACCGTGCAGTTGATGCAGAATCCGTAGGCCACGACTTAATTGCTCCTGTAGTAACTGCACAAGCTGCTCACATAAGGCTTACTTAACTACTCTTATCTTGTGGAGTATCGCTTGTCCGGCGCTGGCCATCATACTATCACCTCGTATTGGTCTTATAATGACCGTATACATCCATACGACAAGATTGGGCTTTGGTCCCCAATTTCTAATGGTGATCCTTTTACAGTATACAGTATTACAGCTATATAGTAGTTTCTATGCGTCTCTCTACATTACAATGCCCAGGTACTATGCCTCCGAGGACAATGTGAGTGAGGGCCTGTCTATTGAGCGAAGGGAGTCTGAATTTTCGTTTCTTGGTAAACAGCTCAGTTCCGTTTAGCTCGGATTAACACTTTTCGATGCTCACGAGTGTCGAGCCTGAGTAGTGCTCCCACTAATATTTCACCAAATGTTGAGGGAGAGAGACCTGTCACCACTACATCAACTGCATATTGTCGGTGATACTGCAAAACGGTCTATGTTTATTATTACCCTTGACACTTAGATGGTCTCTTCCTTGCACCGGAATGCATCTGCAAATCGTTACACCCTAATAAACGTTTGACAAAACTGTCTACCTTTGGCTGATGAAGATTAACTATTGCCAGAAGCGATCAAATACAGATAAAAGATCAACTAAGCACCAGAGGTAATAAGTGACATATAACGTTTTGCAGTATCACTGACGATATGCCACTATCTTCACTACCCATTTGTTGAGTACTTTTGTATTATGTCGATCGGTGCCACCACCCAGAGAAACGACGTAAAACTCCTCCTTGGGGAGTGTCCATTTTTTGCATACAGGGGTGGTGTTACTGAACAATTGCTTGATATTATGACTCTCCTACTCCTTAGCATCCGCTCAATCCACCTGCATATGGAGTCATATATTCCAATTTCACCAGAGGTTAGGTGACTGCTTCGATTTTTATAAGTTTTTTATGGTCTCCATAACTTCATATACGGCGGTTTCGTTCGATCTGTCCCTAATATAAACATGTTGTACTGAAGGACCTGTAGTGCACAATCCTTGGAGGGATGAAAACAACTTTGACTTTTTCAAGATTTGTGGAATGTATGTAGGTAGGCTAGCGTTGTAGACCCTTTCAAGCCAGGATAATATAGGCTATTTTAGTTTCTACATCATTAAAGGTTTAATGTCTTCTTCTTCTTATTTGGCGCTGTAACCGGCTAAGTGATTTTAGCTGAGTTCAACAAAGCACGCCAGTCGTTTCTTTTCTGTGCCAACTGGCGCCAATTGGAAATGCCAAGTGAAGCCAAGTCCTTCTCCACTTGGTCTTTCCATCTCAGTGGGGGCCTTCCTCTTTCTCTGCTGCCACTAGCAGGTTCCGAGTTGAATACTTTCAGAGCTGGAGCGTCGGTGTCCATTCGAACGACATGACCAAGCCAGCTGAGCCGCTGTATTTTAATTCGCTGCACTATATATAGGGTGAAAATGTATTTATTGCGAATTCAATTTTTCTTTTAGCCACGATCGGTTTCAGTAGCTCCTTTGAGTATTGCGTTTTGACCGCTTGGGGGAGTATTAATCAGGGTTCATGGAGCTCATTCGACAGTACCCACACTGCTATATCCTTGAAAAAGGCGGGACGGTCACTTGCAAAGTGTTCCGCCGTGTCATCCTCTTCAAGGCAGCAAAAACAAATGCGGTTGTCATGTATGCCTATCACAGTCAGGTAAAGTAAAGTGCCCAGTCCAGGGTCCCACAAGTTGTCTGCAATACCATCTGCTCAATGAAAGTAAATACCTACCAAGAACTTCTGAGATTGAGGCAAACATGACTTTCGACCACCTACGGCCCGTCGAAGCCTTCCATTGATTTTTGAGCGAAAAATTCAACCAGTTTCTGACGCTGGCTACTAAGGCCGAAGATGGAAGTGGTATAACTGGTAGCCAATGAATGCCTGATCTGAGCCTTCTCTAGCCAAATGGTCAGTTGTCTCAGGTTGCCACGTACTCCTGAGTGACGTGGCACCCAGAGTAAGACAACATCGATATGTTTTCCAACATAATTTAGTCAAGACTTGCATTGCCATACTAGTTTGAAAGTGGTTAGAGTATTGTTTAATGCCTTGAGTACAGGCACGTAAACTCCCGCTTCTCAGTGTAAAAGACAAAGAGAAAAGAGCTTTGATAAAATTCAGAGCAATCTCAGTCTAACGCTAAATTTTATACGGATAGCAGTTCCAGCACAAAACAACACCAATGATACCTGAAATGAAATTAAGCAAAAGTGAAGCAGAATGTATGTATGTGGAAAAGTGACAAACTGAAACTGAAATGAAATGTGGTGTTCAGTTAGTACTCTATAATTATCGAGAGAAATGAAAAATTCACAGCCCCAAGCGTAATGGCAACTAATTTATCGTGCGACTGCAAATATTTTAAAAATTGTATGCTTGTTGATCCTTCATATGCATTATGTACATATATACAAGCAGTATACACATATGCACATAAATTCAAATAAATTTAGTGTATGAAAGGGCTTATATTGTAAGAATGAATGACTATATGCATTTTAGAGAATGGCTCCAAAGTTTTGGCAAGTTACAAGTAGAAGATCGGTAAGAGAATAAAAAAATGCCTTCTGTAGAATGTCGGATCGCTACATGCATTTGAGACTAGTTTTGCTCTTTTTTGGTGTACATAAGTACATACATGCATATACATATGTTTTTAAAAACACACGCCTTTACCGCCTTTCGACTCAGTTCTCATTTGACCTACCAACAAGCAAAAAAATTGTGGACCAGAATATTTTTCTTGTTAGGAAATACCTATGTAGCTTAAACCAACAACAATGTTGCTTATATACATACATATTTACATATATGTGTAAGTATGCTTGCATGAAGTACCTTCAAAAAACAGTGCAAAATGTTTTTCTCGAAGGAGGCCTCAGATGACCGCTTGATACATTTCTTTTTTTTTTTTTTAAGTAAATGTTGACCCTTACGCACATAACACTATGATATATAGACGCTAGTCGCTCAGTGTCTGTGAAGAAAATCGTTTATGATTTATGTGCAACTCGTAAAACTTGCGCATACCAAGAGTTGCAAACAAACAGCCATACATACCTACAACCTGGCTATCCAGGCTGATTACCACATAGCACCTCTCCTGTCGGGCTTTAAGCCATTAGCTTGCGGTGTTAAATATTGTTGAGTGAAAATATTTGTTTTACAGTAATATTTATGTATTTACAAATATGTACAACGAGAAAAGGTTTTTGTGTCTAATCCGTTAAAGAGTAGAAAAGAAGGCGGATAAAAGAAGAACAAACAAATAGTACTGATTATTTTCCTACTTTAAAATACCTACCATGAATTATTTGAAAAAAAAAAATAAAAAACTATACAGTTATAAATATATAGTTTACTAAAAAAGTATGTTTGCTTGGTTAAAGTCAACTCCAGTTAGCACTAAAACGCGCCGTTTTAAAACCAAAACTAGTAATTCGACCTTAAACAAGAATAAAAAGAAAACCACAGAAGCTGGTTACTTCTCTTAAATCCAGCCCGTGTATTGCAGTGGGTTAATATCTGTTTTATGTCTGTTAGACCACAGTAGAAAGGTTTGCTTAGAAACCTACTTCTGGTCCTACTCAGCGCGGTGGATTATTAGAGATAATCACTACTGAATGAAGTAAATTGAGAAAAAAAAAATATTTTTTGAAAGATTTGTGGCTACTACGAAAAATCCATGCTCCCGAGTCATACACCATGACTGAGCCATTCCCAATTCTGACGGAGCTGGTGGTATAGCTTAACGTAATTTTACAAAGCTTAATTTTAGACAACTTCTTTTCGTGCTGTCGGTGGTGAGTGTCGATCCTTTTCACACTGATAAGACCCAATCAGTTCGTTGACGGTGGGCTTCAGTTTCTAACACAATATGCCCGATAAGAGCTTGTAACCTATGCCTAGAAGGCTGAAGCCGCGGTAGTTGGCGCGAATGGCGGTTTCGTCTTTAGGTCGCCATGGTCGCTCTAGGTCGCCATGGTTTTTCTCACAGGAGTTTGTCCTGGCCTTGAAACCTTCCGTAAGTCGCCCAACTCTCCGATACAATTTTCGGGCGTTTTTAATGTCCACGAACATTTCGCTCTTCGCACTCACGTATTTCGGCTTCTCTCTCCTTATTGTGATCAATACGTCTCGCTTCCCTTTTCAGTTCCCAATAACGGTCCCACATGGCCCTGTAGGCGGCATCTTTTTTCTCAGCAGCTTCCTGACACTTCTCATCGTACCAGTTGTTTTTTCGCGCTCGCTAAAATACGACTACTTCTTCGGCGGCGGTACTTAATGAGTGGGAAATGTGGTTCCACTATTCGCATATGTCGGTTGGTTCAGGAGTGCTCTCTGAGAGCAAGTGTGAGAGTCGAGTAGCAAATGCATTGGCTGTCTGTTGTGATCGCAGCTTTTCGACATTAAGCATTCCCGCAATCGTAATCCAAGCTGACTTTTGTACCCTGACTGTTAATGCACCGAATTTGTCGTCAAATAATTCCCAGACAAAATTTGATAGATGTTTTAGGAGACCGTAAATTTATCAGATTTACACGGCTTACGGGGTCGAACACCTTAATAGCTTTTTAATCATTTTTCTTAAAAAGTCCAAAAAAAAAAAGAAAAAATAATCAGACGAAGCTATTTAAATCAGCATCAACATTCGAAGACACATTAACATTTCAATAATGTCCAAAACCAAAAACAAAAAAAAACAGAGTACATACATATGTAGATAGAGAACAGCTCACACTGATACCGGAAGCGGAAGTGCTTCACTTAAGTATCTGATCGCCATTCAAATGCCCATAAATCAATGCTAAATGCCGCATAAATAACAACAAAACAAAAATTGTTACAACAATAAAACATAACAACTACATAAAAATTGCCATAGGAAAAAGCTTTTGAATTTTTATGAACTTTGCTAAAAAAAGCCAAACAACAAGCAGTGAACAGCCAGCAGCCAACAATGAAAATAGCAACAACAATGCGCATAAACAACAGCAATGGAATATGTAATATCGATAAACAAGGACATTTGCAAGTGTGCAAGGGAAGATGGTGTGCCAAACAATGCATTGGGGCGACTGCCAGCGTTGAAGTGTACGGGCAGTGGTCATGGACTACTCACAACATTTTTTTTTGCTGCAGTAAATTGAACGCAACGAATGAATTGACAAAAAAGCAAAATAAAACAGGAAAATTTCTGTCCATTCGAGTGTTTTTTTTTTATTTCTTCACTACCCATTGTCACCGTAGTAAAAGTGCAAGCCAACACACGCTTCAGTGTGAAAGCGAGCCAAGCAAACAAACAATACTCGTTCACAAGCACTCAAAGGCACTCGATTCGAGCAAGGACATGCAGGCATGCGGACGGACATTGGGAGCGCACACAAAAATGCTGCTGCTCCATAAGAGTGACTACAGTGACACATCCGCAGCGTGCAAATAAATCGAATTCAATAAGCGAAAACAACAAACAAACAAAAAATGACAAAAAAAAAAAATGGTGAGTATCTGCGAAAAATGTGATGTGATTGCGGGGAAACATATTTGGCGGGGCGCGCGAACAGTGGCAATAGCGCTCAGATGACAGGCTTCCTGCATACGCTTGCGAAGGAATTATAATACAATAAATATGTATGTACTAAATTTTTTTGTATACAATATATGTATGTAGGTATGTTTGCATTGTTTGTACATAAGTACTATCGCGAGTATGCTCATATGACTTGTCATGAATTACTAATGCATTTATCATTGCCCCAACTCTCTTTGACAGCAATAATTTCCAAACATTCCTCCAATAAATTTCAGTAAACACATATGTAGATATTTTGTTTTTGCATTGCACGTCGATGATGCCATATAATTTTTACACTGCTGTAAAGGATATCCTTGACATATCCTGTCAATGGCTCATACTCAAGTTGCACTTATTGTTTATGCCGGAATCTGTAAAGATTTTTATCGCGCAGCAGTATGCTACTCGAACGCCTCGAAATTAGCCTCGTTCGTTTACTCTTGAACAGCCGTAAGTGCTCGCATATGCATGTATGTATGTAAGTTTATATGTAAGTATGTTTCTATCAGCATAGTGCGACAAATGTGTTACAATTTGATACTATTCGCATAAGATTTGGTCTGATTTTATTGGATTTCCTGCACCATAAGCAACACAGAATTTTTCGCGTTTTCCATAGAAATGCCTCTCTTTTCTTTTCTAATCATTTCGAATCGTATTTCTGGCATCGGGATGTGTGTGTGTGTGTCTAGTTATTTGTCAAAGAAGGAACTTGTATTGCATTGATTTAATTGTGCACGCGAAATACTAGAAGCAGTGGGTGTTGACAATAGTCTACCGTAGCGGAAAACAGTAAGAAGTGCTTAGGTATCTACATATATGTATTCTTATACAAACATACATATGGTCATACCTACTGTATATTAGGAGTTTTCCGTGGCAGCACCTGACGGAAGTTTTTTGTTAAAATACTATGAATGCAGAATGGATTTATGGTTCAGATATATGGATATGTAATATAACATACTACATAAGTATGTATGTATTAGATTTTATTTTCATTTGTCTAAAACCAGGGACCGAGAAAAAAAGGTATGATCGAAACTAAAAGTCCTTCTCGTAGTTTTGTTCCCAAGAACGCATAAAAACCCAAAACCAAAATGAGAACAAATCCTTCGGGAACGTTTTCACAACAACGAAAGTGAGAACAAAACTGTGGAGAACGTTCTCAACGGGAGTTATATAAGAAGAAAAGCTTGTGGTACGTTCCCAAAAACAACAAAATACGAACAATACTTTGGGGAGCATTTCCAAAAGAATAAAATAGGAATAAAAGTCTCAGCAACGTTCTGGAAAAGTTCAAATCGGGAACAAAAGTCTGAGGAACTTTCTCTAGAAAAACCATTTGGGAACTAAGTTCTCAGAAACTTCCTCTCAGAGAACGAAACGGAAAAATCACAAAGAGAATGTGAATATTACAGAAACATTCGCAATCACTTTAATTGTAAATTTCGGTTTAATGAATACAATCTTGATCATTCAGTACTACACTGAAAAAATGTGCCTTGATACTAGAAGAAAATCTTTAACTGTCATTTTGTTTCTGCCCTTCTACTGTTGCTATAATTTTTTAAAGTATTATCTAAGACCAAGAGTACGCAACAGCTTTCATTATTCAGTCTATGAATTTTAAAGAAAATTGCATATTTTTGAAGAAAATTTGCGGTCAACTTTTTATACATACATATGTATAAAGAACCAGTTTTTTATTTTTACAAAAAGATATTTTCATTTTCTAAAACCAAATGCTCATACATATCGATGGCTGAGTAGCTCAGAAAACTTTTAAAGAATTTGAATGAAAAACGCCCTATTTCAGGATTTTATTCAAAAACTCTCTATCTCAGAATTTGGTTGAAGAACGCTCTATCTCAGAATTCGGTTCAAAAGCGCGCTATCTCAAACGAAAACACGTTTTTGAACCGAGCTCTGAGATAGGGCGTTTTTCAATCAAGTTCTAAAATAGAGCATTCTACAACAAAATTCTGAAATAAAGCTTTGTTTAAAAATTTTCTGAGATAGGGCATTTCCAAACTGGTTGCCGAGATAGGTCGATCTTCTACTCAACCATCTATATGAAGTAGCAAGCTTTCTATACGCTTATATTTTTTGTAGGGCTTTTTAATTTTTGTGTAGAAGCCTTTGAACTTCACAAAGTAGAATTTTGGAAATTTAAAAATTTATACAAACATTTTTCTACGTACATAGAAATAGAAAACTTGTTACGTCATACATAGTATGTATGTGCGACTTGATCCTTCCATTCCTTTGAAATCGTGGGCGTTCTAACTTCCGTTGTCCACCCATGGATACCAAGTAAATAGAAGACTTTTTTACCAGATCATCACCATTCATACGTACGTCATGTCCAATCCATTTTTGTAAATATTTGTATATGCTGAACTATGCTATGCTATGCTCCAAGTATACCGAGCACGTAATATCTGATGGCAAGGGTTATCCTGCGCTTTGCCTTCATGTTGACGTCAGTGGTGGTGTTAATGCAAGATCTCTGATAGAAAAACTCCGCCACAACATCAAATTTGTATTTACCAACAGCGGCGTGTCAACCAAATAGGAGGTACTTTGACCAACCCCTTTTACTCCTTATCTAAGCTGGATAATGTTGCACTCTCAGCCGGGTGTAAAGGCCCGCTATGCCAGATGGTTAGCTCGTGCTATGCCTTCCAAAATCATATTGAATGTGAAGTTAATCACCCTGTCCAAAACCTCGTTTGGTGTCGAACGCCATGTAGAGGTCTTTTCCAATCTGGACGGAGGTAAAAGTTGCTGAACCTCACTCCATATAGCCATACAATTTTTGCGAGGATTTCACATTAGATGTAGCATCGTCAGCAGCTTATCGTGTGATATCAAATCTTTAAAATCTACGAAATTGTGGTGGTTGTCGCTTTGTTTATCTCAGATTTTGTTCGGAGTTACGAACTGCAAAAATTTGGTCAATAGCGGATTTTTCAGGTCTGAAGCCAGGCTAATAAGGCCCAACCAGTAGGTTTGGGGAAGGGCTTCGATCTTTAACATAGTATCATTGATTCCTTGTTGTGCATTTCAATACAAATATTTAAATGCCTCAGTTTGCCTTTCTACTTTTTGATTGCCAAAGCCTACAAATTACCTCAAGGACTAAATTTGCCAAGCAATTTCCATTGGAACGTCAAATACGTTTTCAATTTTCAAATTATTTCCAGCAAAGTAATGCGTACATGCCGAAATTCATACATATATGCACAAGTATTTTTATTGTGTAAGGATGTAGATATGTTTATAAATATGTACATATATACATATATGTATATGTATAGTAGGGCGGGTCAATTGGCATGAGATATTATTTCAACCAAGCGCATATATCCTAGGAGCATTCTACCTGTAATTCTAAGCAAATTTGCCGAATAAACGCTGACTCGATTTTTTTTGAATTCTTTTAAAAGGTTTGCAATTTTTGATGAAGTTTTGCAGAATTCTTCTGAATTTGGTACAACTTATGCGGCGTCGGTTAAAATACAACTCATATTTTAATAAAAAATTATCAAAAAATTTTTTGCGTGAAAACAATTGTGAATATTTAAAATATATACAGTGGCGGTCAAAAGTGGATGAATGATGTTTCCTTGTTAATATTCCAACGGTTTTCAAGCTAAATTTTTTTTGATATTTTTTTATAAAAATATGGGTCATGCTTTAACAAAAACCATATAAACCACACTTTCAAACTGTATACAGAAGTTTGAAAAAATCCACAAACCTTTATCTAAATTTCGAGCTTTTTAACCAGAATTTTTATGCAGCATAAGAGGCTTCATGCTATACGCGCATAGTGAATAAAGAAATATCGACCCGTCCTAGTGCATAAATGTGCTTCTGACGGTATGCTATACGCGTATTCGAATAATCTAAAACGCGTGTATTCAAATTAGTTCAACGAACAGCAGCGACAGAAATGGCAAGCAATAACAGCAAGAAAATGACATCAAAACCAACAAAATGAGCATGAGGAATAGCAATCGTAATCGCAACAACAATATTGCCAGTCAGCAACAATAAGGCCAATAAGTGATTTACTTCAATTGTACGCAATTGAATAAATTTTCCGATTCTCTGCATTTTGGCACATTAGCATTAGCATTCGTATTTGAATTCAAAAGCCAAATGCGTACATACGCGCACATCTTGATTCAAACTCGCATTCAAACTGCGATTAGCATTAGTGTACGCGTACATCCTTTGGCGTTAGCCTATTCGTGTGCGTTGAATGAGCGCATTGGAGCGCGTCGAGGAGGTACGTATGTACATAGTCCTACATACATATGTACATATGTACATAGGTACATGCGTCAGTCAGTCAACAGTCAAATGCCATCGTTGTTTGCAGAACCCTTTTTTTCGCAATCCTTGCACCCTTTTTCGTTCGTTTGTTTGCTTGGTTCGGTGCTGGTGGGAGGAGGTTTTGATATTTTCTTTGAATTCCTTTGATGTTGTACGCTCGCACTGAACTCTTGCACCATCTCAATGGCAGACAACAAAGTGTTTACGCGCCTTCATGGGTTAACACCCACCTAAATATTTGGAGCTTTCTTCTTCATTCGACTTTAATTTATTTTTGCTCGTTCTCACACAACATTTTGTTCTTTTTTTTTGTTATTCTTATTATCCTTTTTGTGTGATTATTCTGTTGCCTTCTCTTTCAAAGAAGATTCAAGACAACTTAGGTTTTTGTGGGAAAGATGTTGGAAAGTCTACCTGTAAATATCTATGTATATGAAAAAACTGCCTATATGACTCCTTAACTGAGTGATTTCCGAGTCTCAGAAAGGTGAATCATATAATCCGCAAAGACTCCGTACGGACTCCGCTATTTTCGGTTATGATTTTTGAAAAGGCTGCGTCGAGGTGTCTCTATCGAAGTGCCTTTTCAATATATATGTATTCGGAGCGCTCCGCATTTGGCTGTCTGGAATTAAAGATAAGTATATCTTATCTATCTATGTATGTATATAACTCATTTTCATTCTTATGGATTTTCCATTTACTAGTTGTCTAATACATTTGCTGAGTCCATTCGGAAACTGTCGGTGTTCGATTTAAATGGAAAACTTACAACTTTTATTTTAGGTTTGATGAAATTCATTTTCACGATTCGGGGGTGATAAATTTAGTCATTGAAAATCCATAAAGACTAAATACAAACAAAGTGAAAGCAATAAACCTTGACAAAGCCACTAAAAAAAAGGGTTATTTGCGTAACGCAGCCAGCCACGCCTACAATGACTTTACATTCAATGTGCCGAGTAAAGAAATTCAAAATAGAAATTGCGTAGCTTTTATGCGCAAAAAACGTAATGTTTTCACAATGATTTCTGCACAAAATAAAAAAATAACAATATACAGCATCACTCAAAATGCTTTTACGCGTGTCTAATTTATGCGATTTTTATACGATAAAATTGCGGCAGTACTGCGCTGAAGCGGCGGCACTTCAATCGAAAGCGCACACAACATGACTTGACAGCAAACAGCAAGTGGCAAGGTGGCAAGGCGGCAAAGTGGCTGAGCGGTAGCTGCAAACAAATCGCTTTTGATGACCAACACTTTTCGGCCGCTGGGAAAATAAAAAAAGCACACATTGCTTACCTGCCTGCCTCCCGCTTTCATGCACATACATACATACATGCTTACATATGACTATAGCGGGGAATAGGCAAATCAAGCGGCCGCCCGATGGGCAATACTTGAGCACAGGTGTCCAACTGTCCACTGGGTCAGTGTAGAAGGGTGTATGTACTTCTGTAGGTGCGCATAGTAAAGTCGCTTCTAAAAAACAGATGAAAGGATTTTTTTCTGCTCCCATGTGCTGTGGTGATTTTTCTCCCCACTCCACCGGCACATCATTTTGATAGGTTAATTGAATGGCGCAGCAGCATCAAGAGTTAATCGACGCTTTCAACAGCTTACTGCCCCTTCACTTGATTTGACGCGCGACTTACATAGTACTCGTATCTATATTAAGGTGGTTGTATAGTATTTATAGTTGCATGTTTGATTGTGCGCCACCACACTGCTTAAAGCCATGAATAGCAACAAAAGCAGCAGGCAGTCAGGAGCAGCAGCTGCAACTACTGTGCGGGCAGCAAGTGTTTGCTCGCTTTTGCTGCTCCGTTGATCTTTTCATCGATGTTCACA